TTCCTACCTACCTCACATCAGAAGTAGACTAGGAAATATATTTGTGTCACCTTATTTGCATCTGTACGAAGAAGTACTTGTGCAAATATAATCTTGTCTCAGTCAAACCAGCTTGAACATTGTTGCGCTCAACTAGGAGTGCAATATCTGTGTGAACTTGCGTCTCTAAGAGCAATCCTATATTGTCCCAACCATTAAACTCGGTCTATTCACACCCACACCACAAATAACAGAGAAAAACCACAATATCCTTAACTCAATAGGCAGTCTCTGAAGAGCCGGAAAACCGAGTACTGTCTAGGTTTGAATCATTTCTACCGCATTTCATCTGGAGCCCACCGTGGGGGGTTGTGGTTTATTTCAAATATTTTTCTGTTGCTGGTAGTAGACTCGCAATGGTCTCTATTAACGGATTGCCGAGACCGGGGCATGAGGATGCCCCGAAGAAGTTCAAAGGAAGTTATGATGAGGTAGAGCGGTTCATTGATCACTATGAGCAGTTGTTGGATGCTGCAAGTATTACAGATGAGAGGGAGAAGTGCCTAGGAGTGAGGAAATATTGCTCAACCAGAGTGGCTAACATCATCGAAACATTTGATGGTAATGGGCCTCAGTGGAATTGGGCTGCACTCAAGGACGAGATCAAGCTTAGATTTGATGCAGACCGTGCGAGTAAGAGGTACCATCTGGCTGACTTGCACGCATTCCTTGAGAAGTCGCAGAAGAAGAAGATCACGACTACAGCTGCCTTCAAGCAGTATGATCTCAACTTTCGTTACATCTGGACTCATCTTTCGGCTCCAAAGCCTGATGATTCCCAGAAATTCACCTATTATTGGCTCGGAATTGGCCTCACTCTCAGAGAGCGAATCGAGGACAGATTCCTCAGGACTTCGCCAGGGGCGGATATGTCTAAGCCAATTCCAATGACGGACGTGTATGACCTGGGTATCAAGGTATTATCCCGTGATAGGTTTGACACGATCGGTCTTGCAGGAATGGTCGGAGCCGATGACGAAGAAGATGATCAGACTGAAGAAGGGTCTGATTGGAGGAAGGATTTGCAGGAAGATTCGGAATCTGATGAATCTGACTCTGCGCTGGCGTTCATCAAGAAGCAGAAGCTCAAAGGCAAGCTGATGAAAGCAATCAAAGCGGTGCGCTTTGATGCTGAGGACAGCAGTGATGAAGAGCCAAAGAGTAAGCCCTCAATCTCCTCTCGTGCTTCGCCAAGGCATCAGAAGTCGAGCTCGGTTAATGAGAAGGTAGCAGCGTTAATCGAAGAGCTGGCGGGAATGTCCCGCACAGACAAGCGCTATCCTAGCCTCTACTACAGGGCAACTACTCTGGATAGCAAGGTAAAGGACCTCATCCCAGCACCCATCATCGCATCTGCAGTACAAGTACCATCTTCAAACGGGTCATCATCTACTCAGACTACATTTGAGCGCCAATTGCCCCCACATCTAGGAACGGCAGGAGTATCTCCAGCTGCACGCCCACCATTATCTGAGATGTTATGCTATGGATGTGGGAAGAAAGGACATGGCATGAATCGGTGCAGCGAGATTGATGAGAAAATCAAGAGTGGTGTCATAGTCCGCGATGCGACTAATCGACTAATGTTTGCAGACGGCTCTTTCATTCGACGAAATGGGTCTGAATCTTTCATGGACGCCATCAAGAGGCGCGAAGAAGAAACCAAGACGTTTAATTCACATTTTGTGAAGCGCCTTGGCACGGATATGTATCCCGATGAGTTCAAAGCTCAGCTTCAGCAAGCCTACTTTGCGCCAGAAGGACATCCAGCTGCTTACATTGAGTCAGAAACTGACTCGGACATTGAATCCGACGGAGAAGCTGAATACTGGACAATGCCAGCAATCACTCGCGCTCAACAGAAGCTAGACGATGGTCGTCGCCAAACTCGTAACAAGATCTATCCAAGTCCAGATGATAGGCAAAAGGCTCGCAAGCAGCGTCGCCAGCGTGAGCGTGAGGATGAGGAATTGGTTGAGTCACAGGCTCGACCTGCTCAAGCTCCGTCAATTCCAGGAGAAATACCTCTCTCCTCAAAAAGAGAGGGCAAGAAGAAGGCTGACGAGTCCAAAGCTGAAGTACAACACGACCCAGAACCTCAACCTCAGCCGCAACCAGAACCTGTGGTAGTAATCACACCCGAACCGGTTCCAATGAACGTCGAGCCTGAGCTTTATTCTGGAAAGCCACGACCCGTAACTGAGGATGAACTTACAGAGCCCCCAGTGAGAAAATCACCCAGAAAGAAGGATAAGAAGCGGCTCATCAGTTCGGAAGGCGAGGAACTCCCAACGCTGACTCCCCTACAGACAAGACCATCAGATTATGACGCGGAAGAAGATGACGACATTCTCCCGGACATCTCGCCAAGGCCACCCAGCAAGCCGGAAGGTCAAAGACTGGTGGAAAAGCGAGCATACAACCCGCGCAAGTCTGCGGTATCATCAGAGGTAGACCCAAAGAGTGTTGTGGACCGGATCCTCAAAACTCCGGTTAGCTCATCGGTCGGTGAATTGATGGGGCTCTCTAAGGAGCTCTCCCAAATCCTTAGTGACACGCTCAAGTTCAGGCCGCAGAAGGAATTTATTGACCTCAAAAATATTAATCCCAAGTATGCTAGCGGAAACCTCGCGCCGGCGCAGAGCAACAAAGCAGGGAACAGGCCAGACTATCAGTCATTCATAGCGCCGAGAGTGCACGGCGAACTAATTCGTCTACGCGTAGACTGCTATGGCTATGACATCAATGCAATCCTGGATACTGGCTCGGAACTGAATGTCGTCAGCTCGGAAGTTTTTGAGCAGTGCTTCCGCTTACCGAAGGATATGGATCAGCGTTACGACTTGGGTGATGCTAACGGCGGAAAGCAAACGTTAGCAGGAGTAGTCAAAAATGTGAAACTTAAATGTGGAGCAATTGAAACGGTTGCTCACTTTTGCATAAGTGAGCGGCCGCCCTTCGACATCCTGCTAGGAAGGCCCTGGCAAAGAGGGAATTATGTCACGATTGATGAGAGAAACGATGGTACTTACCTGCAGTTCAAGGATCCGCGCGATCGGAGCCGGGTTAAATATGAACTGATGGCGGAGCCTGACGAGACGCGGTTTGATCGGCGCTTTGACCAGCGAAGCTGGGCAGCGCGCGCGGCTCCCCAGGGAAATACCTACATGGGATTTCTGCTCCCGTCAGAAGAAACCATGAGACGAAGAGCGCGCGATATGTTTGTCTTGCCAGTTGCTGTTGCGCCAAGACAGGGCTGGGACGAAGAACCAACGTTCATTGAAGTCGGAGGGCTCTTCTCGAGTAGCCTAGAAGAGTTCAATCTTATGTCAGTTCAGGTCTGGGAAAGGACGGGCTTACCCCTGCAAAGGTATCCAGGGATGTACGCTCCATCTGTGACTACGCCCGATGGTGTAGAACTTACATGGATAGGGAGGGTCAACGAGGTAGACACTGTGATGGTATTAGGAGAAGGAGAGACATACCTCCGCACCGAACATGACTATTTTGTCATGGAGAATTTCCCGATACAAAATGCCGGGGTAATGCTAGGCCTTGCTGCCATAAACAAGTGGAACTTACGTTCGGTCACGAACCCAAACGGATCGCTATCGTTGCGCGTCGGATCAATACCCGAAAATTATCGATTTTATCCGCTCACTGTTCCCGCTGTCCTAAAGAGACCGGAAGACCTTCTGCCTCGGAGGTTTCATTCCTTTCTAGGGTTGACAGGGGAAGTATCAGAAGAGGAAGAGACAAAGGCGAAGTTTGAGAGCCTACCGGTCACCGAACTCTGGCTTATGCATCGGGCGCGACCACCTCAGCCTGCTAGCACTTGGTATGCACCAGAGCAGATGGCCATCGACCTGGCGCTAGAACGATCCATTGTGAGCGAGGAAGGTCTGAGAAGGGTTGGATTGCGTACGATGTGGTATCCGCGCAGTGCGTGCATACAGTGGTCCAGAGGAAAGGACCTATACGTTAGGAAAGCAATAGACGGCGCGGAAGGGCCAGTAGTCTTGCGGGTTAAAGCATCGCAGATCAGCGCGGCAATTGATATGCTAGTGGTCGAGCATTTTCCTTATCTCGGTATCGATTTCGTGCTTGGCCAGGACTGGATGGATGCCGTAGGATTGGCGGAGCTGTCATCGGGCAAGGAATGGGATCTGATGCAGTTCGAAAACGGGTTGTTATTAGAGGTTTCGACCCGTTTAATTGAACGCGTACCAGATCGTGATCATCCGTACGATGAACTGGCGACAAAAGCCATTTCCCGAACTAACGCCTTGGAATCAGTTGAAAACAACTCAGAGGGAGAGCAGATTTTACCTGTCATCGAGCTATGGTGCATGCATGAGACAGTTGTACTTCGAACAGTGTTCCAGGACAATAGGCCGATCAAGGTTGCCGTGGATGTCGATCAGCCGCTGAGTCTGATCTCTGTGGAGGGCTGGCGATTGCTTGGCCGAGCAGGACGAAGGCCGAGACAGAATCAAACCGTTAACCTTTCGGACGGAAGGCCTATGAAGGTTCAGGCCACGATTCCTGATGTTCGCTTTGAAGCTCGTTTAGCGGGTGGGCGAAAGCAGCTGGGGAGCGTTGATCTGCGAGTCATAAGAGAATCACCGTACCAAGAGGCAGAGTGCGTACTTGGAAGCGACTGGGCGAAGTCCAGTCGATTGTTAAATTGGTCCGGAAACGAAAATGGGTCACTATTACGCTTCCAAAGGTCGGTGGGCCAACGCGCTGCTGAAATTCGGGGGGAGATACTGAAGTGTCCAGACCGAACGAGTAAGAAGGGTCTTGGATGGAGCAGGAAAAAACTGGAGGCAAGGTACGTACTTCCGGTGTGCATTCCACAGGGCCCCTCTGACGACTGGCAAGGAAAAGAAATGTTTCCAACCCGAGTTGTGGTTGATCGCAAACTGGGGGGAATAAATCTTATGTCAGTAGACACATGGGAAAGAACGGGTAGGGGTGTGTATAGACCTACCAGCCTCAGACTACCGACGGTAATTGGGCCGAACGGTGAGCAGCTAGTGGTAGTTGGGACGGTGCATCGGTTGGACCTATACTTTGAAAACGAAGATGGAAAACACATTTTTTGTGGGGGAGTTGACTTCCTTGTCGTAGTCAACTTTCCCTACGAAAACGCGTCCCTCATCGTAGGGAGCGCGTGGGCCGATAAGTGGGGGGTTCACGCAGAAGGCACCCCAAACAACGTACAAGTCACTTTCGCGCATTTAAGTTCCATCAAAAAGATGAAAGCAGAGAGAACGATTGCCGTCCACCGTGGCAAAGCTGAGGAGTGCGACACAGACGGGCGAGCGTTGGTGAAGGTGCGAAGCCGGGCGAAAAGCTGCGATAGGACATCTCCGCTTGAACGAGGACTACATGAACAGCCTGGGCAAAGCGACTACGTACCGCTCTTAGAGCTGGAAATTGCGTGTGACGTGCTTAACTTACGGGACAGGGTCCATTTAGAACCCTTTCAGACCATGAAGGGGGCTGTCGATGTCGGCCTTGAATGCTCGCTGATAACGTTGCAAGCCTGGGGAGCTTCGGGCAAAGCAGCTAGGCGGCCTGAGCATCTTATCAAGCCGCTCAATGCTTGCGGGATCGAACTCGATGTCGTGGGACGAGTCGACAATATCACCCTCACGATTTTTACGGCTGGCGGGAGACGTGCTATCGGCCAAGTCGATGCATGGGTTGTGCCTACGTTACCGCTCTCGGGCATACAATTGATGCTTGGGCGCGACTGGGTAGGGTCTGCGCGTCTTCAGAAGGTACAACCGAAAGGGAGTGGGTTTCACCTTACATTCACCGAAAGTCTCGCGGTGCCAGCGGGCTGGGAAATTGAAACCGGAAGCGTAGAACTAAGACGCGTAGGCAACGGAAAGAGCGGAGACGCGACGGGGCAGCAAGAGCATACAGCTATGGGTGAAGGGTCCTTAGCCGACAAAGGAAAACGGCGCGAGGGTCTCGACGATTCAAAGGAGTTCCTCAAACGCGAATATTCAGAGTCTAGTTCGTTCGCGAGGTCCAGGAGTAATTCAAGCGGGGAAAGGTGGAGCATGACAGTCGAGGGCACAGAATCACGAGCCACACAACGCAACGAAGAAGAGAGCGTGTATACGCTGGCTGACTCAGAACGCCGCGGGCGGACAAACGACGCGGGAACACAAAGCTACGAATGGGAGTGCGTCGAAAAGGCTGGGCAGACCTCCGAAATGTACTTGCCAGCCCTTGCGAAGGCTAAGGAGGAGGCGAGTGAGGAGGAATGGAGTGTTGCAGCTACCTACGCAAAATCACAAGTTAGCGAGAGCAGTGAGAAAGGTAGCGTAAGAGACTTAGCTGATTCAGACGGTGACGCATTACCGGCTGTCGCGCGAGTGCGAGGCAACAGAAAGGTAAGCGCCGAGGCCGCTGAGCAAGGGGGAGACGCGCAGACAATCACCCGCGAGAATTCGAACGAGCATGTGCAGGAAGAAAAAGACGGCCTGAGGGCCGACGTTGGTCTTGTGCGAGTAGAGGAGGGGGTACGTGAAAGGGAAGCGGGCGTACCTGCTGAATCAGACACTGACAAACGAACGAGCACCGCGCGAGTTGGGTACAACGAAAAGGCAGGGCCAAGGCTCCTTGCTGACCAAGAAGGAGGACTAGAGCGCGATGAAGGAGTGACGAGTGACACAGGTCCGCTGGTGAGAAGGGGTACGCGTGAGTTGGCCGAGCAAAGCATCGCGGGAAGGAAAGGAAAGGGGACGAAGAAGGAGGGAACGACGCTGGCCGAACGCGAGGAAAGGAAACGACGATTAGTAGGAGGAGAAAGTATAAAAGAGAACGAGACGCACCTCGAGACCCCAATACAACCATCGAATATGTCTCAAACACAATATAACCAGTCTGCTAGTGCTTATGACAGTACGCCTCCGGGGAAATCTGACCTCGAAGGCGACCTCGTCCCCCTCATTCCTGCAACGGTAACGACGGGTGGACGCACCTATGATCCCCATTACGCTTGGGACGCTCACGAAAGTCGCGGTCGGCTCCCGTTCGACTTGATGCTTCGTTCTCTTGCCGAAATGCGTTGGTTGAGGGAGCGCGGGGGTGACACTGGTATGTTCGTCTCCGGACGCGCCTTTGCGTTGAAGCCCGCGATCGATCCCGACTCGTCAACGTGGCCAAGGATCTTTACGATACCGGAAGGGGTGTTGGCGGTTGAAGGAGAAAGGATGGAAGGTGTGAATTTGGTCGTGTACGCGTGGGACGACGTTCAGATGGAGAGCGACGTTCGTGAACGAGCGATATTCGTGCCACAAATGCCACGTTCGGACATTGCCGCAGGTAAGTCCCACGTTTCTCATTCGCCAACGTGTTCGGACACGACGACTTCTTTTTCGTCTCGCTCTGACTTCGACACGTCACTCATCGCGTCTACGTCCTTTTCTCGCTCAGCTGTATCCGACCTCGTCAATGCCCTCAGGAACTCAGCTTCGGGCAGCAGTGCCCCGCACGATGCTAACGGGACCGTCAGCCCGTACGATGTCGAAGGAGGTGGGAAGGAGTGCGAGGCGGAGGACGCGAAGGATTCGAAAGACGACGATGATAAGAAGGAAGGGGGAAGCGGAGACGCGAAGGGGAAAGACGACGAGCATGCCATGTACGAGGTCTGGGCAGAAAGGGATGCAACCACAGGCACGTACCGTCTCGTTAGAATCGATGGGGAGGAGCTCGCCACCTCGGAAGAGGCCTTGCGTTTGATGCTCGACGCACCCGTCGTCGAGTACCATATCAACGGATGGGGGAGTGGCCCGGGAGGCTTCCAGGCTCTCACTAAGGAGGCCGCAGCTCGTCCCGAACCGCTTCTTCGTCCGCTAATAGATGTTCTTAATTTCTATTTCTTCCATCACCCGAACGAAACTCGGTATCCGTTCGCTCTTGAGGCCCACGACCACATAGGCGTGCTGAGCGGGCTCCTGGGTAGGCCCAGCACACCGCCTTTCCCTCGCGTTCACCATAACACGCACACCGCCAAGACCGGTGACCCCCTCACTCTCATTCGTGTCCATATCGATCCACCGTATCTCTGTTCATTCGTGTTCGCCCCCGCAACTCGCAACGACAACATCTCCGACTTCATCGACTCCCTCGTCGCCACTCAAGCGTGGTTCCGTATCGCTGACCCACCGTCCGATCCTGACGGTGTTATCCTTCGACCTCGCAACCGGCTGTCAGCAATGGATCACCTTAGTCGGGCGCTCGATATTTACTTCATGGGAGAGGAGTGGGAGGATGCAGAAGTTTGCTTGGAGGTGCAGGAGATGGACGGCGAAGTTGAATGGGAGAAACCGTCGTGGATTATGGACACCGACATTTGGGTTAGGAAGAATTCGGAGGAAGGAAAGGTTTACCGGGTGAGGTTGAGGGAATTCATCGAGGAGTACCCCCTCTCGGACTCGGACGATGACCTCGTCCGAGGAAGGGAACGTAATGTGTTCGAGGAGGCGTTCAAGCAGACGGTAGAGGAGGTTCAGCGAGGGAGGCGTCGTGAACGGACGGTGGGAGTGAGCACGACGGAGCGAGAAGACAGTGGAGGATTCACGAGGTTGATGGAGATGACGATGCGCGAGCTCGAGGAGGAATCGACGAGTGAGGAGACGTCTACGCCCTCGCTCGAGACAATCTCCAATTCAGATTACGCGGAATCTTCGGAGAGCGCACGTGAGTCTTTTCGTCCGATCATCCACTCGGGGCATGGATCTGAATGTCCTCTTTACCCAGCCACGAGCTTCTCGTCGGACTCGCATCTCGACGCGTTAGCTGCGCAGCTCGCCCCGCGCTACCCGGAACTCATCGATCCAGGGATGTTCCCCAGTAACGAAACGGACGCGCCCGGCCTTCCGGAGGTAGAGAGGCTCATCATGCTCACGCAGCGCGCCATGCCCCTCATTGAAGCCCTCACTCGCCCACAACCCGACAAGACGACTTCGGACGACGCTAATGCCCTGCCTACTCCTCCCGAATCAGTAAACGGGGAGCAAACGAACGCGACCGTGGTCCCTCCGTTCGGTGTATCCACCTACGGAGTTTCGCACTATCTCCCCGATCGGTTCGTGAAGACGGAGTTGCGGGAGGAAGAGGTGGACGAAGCGGGTGCGCGGATTAGCCGGGGGAAGAATGCGGAGGTCTTAGAATTTTTGGAAGGACGTACCGCGGAGAGGTTACGAGGCGGGAGAGCATCGTCGGAAAACAGTGTCGAGGTGGAGGTAGTGGAGACAATGATGAGGGAGAAGGAAGTAGGGGTGAAGCAGAGCAGGAGGACGGTGAGCTGGATGGATGAGAGCTCCGCGATCAGCGGTTGGGACGTCTACGGGTTCCCTGCAAACGATCGCCCCGGCTCTTCCAAGACCGTCCCTGAAACCGACGACTGGTACGCACCTCCGCGAACGCACGTGTACTACCTCGAGAAGCCCAAGGTACTTCCGTACGCGCTGGCACCGCTGTTCGATCAGGACGCCTATTGGGTGGACGAGGATGTCGACCAGGTATTGGCGGCGCAGAAGGAATACTGGGATGCGGGTGTGGTACGGTGCCGGATTCGGAAGGTAACGGAGGTGGAGTGTTCGAGGTTCGAGGCAACGGAGTGGAAGCCGTTGGCGGATTATTGGTGTGGGGTAGAAGCTGCGTACGATAAGGATGTGGTGGATATGACGGGGGTGGAGGAGGCACGGCGCCCGAGCGTTCCGGTAGCCCACTTCCCGACCTATACGCAGTCCCGCCTTTTTAATCCGCACTACCTCCAGGAGACGTCGCTCGGCGCGCATCGCGCTGCCCACCTGCTCGAACATCACGCTCGTAGGTCGGACCTCGCCGTTTACCCTCAGTTCCCCGTCATCACCAACCCCCGAGCCCCTTTCAACGTCAACTGGGTCGCTTACCTGTATCTCCGCCAACTTCACAAGTACCGGTATGAGAAATTCGTCGCGAGTCTTTCAAGGAAGGAGTGGCAGGATATGGAGAGCTACGGCGAAGGGCTGATCGGAAGGGGGGATAGGTTCGAGACGTACGCGGACCTCGAGGATTACTTACAGGGCAAGAACCCGTTCTTTCGCGCCGAAGAAAAACGCGATCTCTTCTTTTATGTCGAGTATCTCATGCACCAAAAGGTCCGTACTCTCGCGCACATCGTCAATTACATTCTCTCTGTCGAGGTCGGCGATGCCGCCCTCATCCGCTACCTCAACGACCGAGGATTTTTCGACGGAGATGCCAAACTCGAGTCCTTCGGGACCGTCACTGGTCACTCTGCTTAGTCATTACCTGGTGCGTGCACGAAAACTTGTTCCGTTTCGCCCGCTTATCATCTTTTCGTCAGAATATCTTGAACGTGATGGCTTGCCGATTCGCGGAAGTGTACGAGTAGCTGGCCCGCCCGTGTGGCGAGACGCGATTTGTGGCGCGGAACTTCTATCGGGTTTTTCTTGTACGTTGACTCATACGCTCACTCTTTTCGAATGTTTTTTGTCACGATGGTTTTTCGAACCCTCTGTGTTCGCTGTGTCTCGTTCTGGGACTCCAAATTCTCGTATTATTGCTATCGTGCATAAGGTCTCGCGGTATCGTGTCGGGTGGTGTACGAGTATCGGTCTCTGCTCGAGTTGTCAATATACGAGAAATCGTGGCTGCGTATGTATAATTACAGGCGTGTACGAGAGTCGTTATCCATGCTCCGAAGTATCTATTTCTTGTTCCCCGCGGAATTCGTCGTTTGTGTACGATAGTGTCCAGTCGCAGTCATGTCACGAATATTCATTTCTTTTCGACGACTTCGGCGATCGCGCTGTAATCTCGGCGGCTATGGCCACTATACTCAACTTCAAAATTCTCGGGCAACTCAGTCATAGGTTTAATTGGTTGAGCTCCGAGTCCCATAAGGGCACTCCAACAAGCCTCATATCAAATCGGGACTTGTGTGCGACTTGCTGGTGGTGGCTTTTGTGGCACGAGGCATTCCGAATATTACGTAATTTTGACTTCGGAATTTTGGAGAACAGGTCAAGTTCCGAACTCGAAGAAGATTATAAGTCTCCGCCACCAGTGAAATGCGAGTCGGAAGACCCTTTTGAGCGGGTGTATGCGTGTTTCTCGTTATTCTCCGAGTTGGCGGAGGAAGAGAGGTACAAGCATAAGGAACCCAAGGTCGACAGTGTGCACGAGAGCCCGGACGAAGAAAGTATTAGGCAACGTTACCGGTCGCTAGGCATTAGCGAACTGTACGACACGGAAGGGGAGATCGTCGACCTCGAAAATGATGTCATACTAATGTGCGATGATTGGATGGATGCTCAAGAGGCGATCCAGGTCTTCACCATGTACAAACCAAGTCATCTCCGAGCAAGACCGGTTCCTGGTGTGTACCCCGAAGACACTAAGGTGCGCAGGAATATTCCGGAGGACCCATTGCTCACTCTGCCAAGAATAGACAAACGTCCACCAGAGTTCAGACCGACAAAACGGATCACTCCTGAGCGTCTTAAGGTTCTCAACATCAATATGGACAGCTTCCTGAGCAAAGAGGAGGAGAAGCTTTTCACCCAAGTCATGATGAATAATGAGGATGTCTTCGCGTTTGATGAAAGCGAGCGAGGTACATTTAGAGAAGACTATTTTTCCCCTTACATCATCCCGACGGTACCTCATGAAGTATGGAAGCATGCAAATATTCCAATCCCGCCTGGAATCAGAGAACAAGTCATCGAGATGTTGCGGGACAAGATCAAAGCAGGGGTGTATGAGCCAAGCCAATCATCATACCGATCGCGCTGGTTCTGTGTGATGAAAAAGAACGGCAAGCTCCGCATCGTGCATGATCTCCAGCCCCTAAACAGGGTCACCATCAAGGATTCTTCAATGCCGCCAGTACTTGACAACTTTGTCGAGCCGTTCGCACATCGCGCATGCAACTCGGTCTTTGATCTATTCTGGGGCTTTGATGCGCGCAAGATAGCTGAGTCGAGTCGGGATCTCACGGCTTTCATGACACCATTGGGGCTCTTGCGCCTAACTTCTATCCCAATGGGGTTCACTAATTCCGTCGGCGAGTTCCAGAACTGCATGGCCTTCATTCTCAGCGAAGAAATCGAAACTCATTGCAATATATTCATTGACGATCTAGCCATCAGGGGGCCGGCGACGGAATACCTTGATGAGAATGGTGAAGCGGAAGTTTTGGCTGAGAATGCTGGAATCCGAAGGTTTGTATGGGAACACGCAGTTGACGTTAATCGTATTCTGCATCGAATCAAGTGCGCAGGAGCGACCTTCTCGCCAGGAAAGATTCAGCTTTGCTCACCAGAGGTGATCATTCTTGGCCAGAAGTGTACGCCCCAAGGCAGAGTTCCAGATCCGAAAAAGGTGGACAAGATCAGGAACTGGCCTCCTCTCAAGAATGTCAAAGACGTGCGCGGATTTTTAGGTTTGTGTGGGACTGTAAGAATTTGGATCAAGAATTATTCTGAGATCATCCGTCCGTTAACGGAACTGATACGGTTTGACACGGTGTTTGAATGGACATCTCGGCGAAGCGAAGCATTCGAGGTGCTAAAGGAGATAGTGGCATCGGCCCCCGCGCTGCGCCCTATTGACTATACATCCCTTAAACCGATCATCCTTTCAGTGGATTCAAGCAAGATCGCGGTTGGGTTTATTTTATCACAGTTGGACGAGGAAGGGAAGCGTCGGCCAGCGCGTTATGGGTCAATACCAATGTCGGACAGAGAATCTAGGTACTCTCAGCCTAAGCTTGAGCTGTTCGGCCTGTACCGTGCATTGCGCCACTTCAGGATCTACATCATCGGTGTTCGCAACTTCTATGTTGAAGTCGATGCGCAGTACATTCGCGGGATGTTGAATGAACCTGATCTGCAGCCTAATGCCGCGGTGAATCGCTGGATCCAGGGAATACTGCTGTATGACTTTATATTAGTGCACGTCCCAGCAACACGATTCAAAGGGCCTGATGGGTTGTCACGAAGGAGTCTTGGCGAAGGAGAGGAAGTCGAGTCAGATAATGATGATTGGCTGGATGATGTTACTTTGCTTGGATCGTCGCACTTTGGTAAAATTGATTTAAGGCAAAGATCACATGCGACGGAGTTTCCATACTCTATTAACGACTTACCGACCTGCCACAAAGCAGCAGCAGTGCTTCAAGATACGCTATTACGCGAGATTTGGGAGTTTCTCGAAACTCTAAAGTATCCAGAAAGAATACGCACAGGCACAATGCAAGAGCAACGAAGATTTGTTGCGAAGGCAACACAATTCTTTGTCAAACGCAAGCAGCTCTACAAGCGGAACTCGCATGGGAGCCCTCTTCTGGTGATATTGGACATAGAAAAAAGAGTCGAGATCCTAATGGAGGCTCACGAAGGTTCTGGGCATAGGGGTGAGCAATCTGTGTTTGAGATGCTGCGGAAACGGGTGTTCTGGCCACACATGCATGCAGACATCCGGCATCATGTGCGTTCCTGTCATCAGTGCCAAGTGCGCGACACCAAGAAGATGGTTGTGCCGCCCATTATATCCATGCCGGCCACCATTTTCACAAAAATATATCTTGACACTATGAGAATGCCTGAAGTAGATGGTGTCAACGCAATCATAGCGGCAAGGGACGACTTATCACGCGTTACCGAGGTCCGGGCGGTGTGGAGTGGAGACTCAGAGCAAGCAGCTGACTTCTTGTGGGAGCAAATATACTGCAGATATGGTGCCGTTGGAGAAGTCGTTACGGACAATGGTTCGGAATTCAAGGCGGCATTTGACAAACTCTTAGAACGTAAGCTTAAAATACCACAGATCCGGATTTCGCATTACAACAAACGCGCCAATGGAGTAGTGGAGCAAGGGCACTTTGTGTTGCGAGAAGCTCTAGTAAAGGAGTGCGACGGGGACCTGACAAGATGGCCCTATTTGCTTCCGCATGCGGCATTCACAGATCGAATCACTGTCAGTCGAGTAACGGGTGTTTCACCATTCTATGCGCTTCATGGAGTAGAGCCGGTGTTACCCCTTGATCTCACTGAGGCTACATTTATGGTTGAAGGATTTAGGCAGGGAATGTCTAGCGTTGACCTGTTTGTGCTTCGCATGCGTCAACTAGAGAAGCATCCAGAGGAGCTTGCACGCGCGTCGCAGAAGCTCATTGAGCATAGGCTTCAATCAAAGGAATACTTCGAGCGGCGTTTCCATAAGCGTCTGCGAACAGGGAAAGAAGATGCCGAGTACTTAAAACCAGGGCAATGGATTCTAATTCGAAACTCTGCAATAGAAGAACAACTTAACCGTAAAACTATGCAGCGTTACATTGGTCCATTCATTATTGTGAGGCAAACTCGGAACGGTGCCTGGGTCATCAAGGACCCAGATGGGACAGTGCATAGACGGGCAGTTGCGGCGTTCAGGATAGTACCATACATAGCGAGAGACAAGAAAACCTTACGGGACCTGGCTGCGCCAGATCCAGAGCTTGTGAATGAGATACTGGATGAAATTATGGAAGAAGTCGAAGAGATGGAATCTGACGACGATCTTTTTCTAAACGGAGCATAAAGGAAGCCACGGACTTAGCAGATTACTTCTGAGGGCAATCGTGGCTCGGCAAAGAAGCGCGTCGTTTGATGGCGTGGAGTACGTATTTGACAACGACTCCGTTGCTCGAGGATCGACCCGAGCCCCCACATTCGTTACTAGCTATGGCCCTCCCCCGCTATTCAGCCCCTCTTCTTCCACCCACACATACGATTCCATACCTCACTCGCGTTCTTCATGACCATCCGATCGACTATGGCGTCGACAACGAAAAACCGACTGTGTACATAAGCTCGGGAGGCGTTAAGCTCCCTCCCTCAGGTGCGCATGAGCATTCTCCTACGGTAGTGACAGCAGTCTGACTTTACGAAGATGCGAAAGTGACAGCTCCTGGCAGGCGTCCTGCGCTCTCTGATGCCTGCATCACCCATCCCATCTCTCGCACTGCAGTCCCGCCTCCCAATGCAACCAAGGAGGAAATCACAGCGTATAACCAAGGCCGCTTCCTAAACCCCATATTCCCGCCTGACATCACCGCTCATCGACTTCTTCTTCACCTCACTCTTCCGCCTGAGTCCCTACTCGAACCTGGCGTTTTCATAGTCGTTAAGGAGGAGAGCCGGAGTGATGATCATGAGCTAGTGCTGTGGATTAGGTTGAGGGTAGGGTATGACCGTGTCGTTGCAGTGTTTGAGGTAGGACTGGTAGACGACCCTCGTCGCTCAGGGCTTTTATTTGTTGACATACGGAGTGTGCCGGTGACTGTTGACATGGTGGCACACATGGACACTGGTTACGCGACTATTCCTTCCGAGATTTGGCATCGTGGGCTATTTTGTGGTCATTCCCGGGTCACTTTTCAGCGTTTCACTACTATGGACGGCATCTGCATGCGTCGGAAGATCCAGTTTGCTGAGCGGGGAGGAGCTGTCGACGTGTAGAATCATTCTTACCGCACTACTATACCTTTTTTTCTCTCATTGTTATCCACCTTAGTTACTTTTCTTGAGCTTTTTAGCACCCCGAGTTCTCTTATATTACAACGAGCTGTAAACTGCATGTAGTCGTCCCCATGTTTTTAAACAATAGTGGGCTTTGGCTGTGAGCATCGATGAAGTCTGAACGTTTATGATGGAAAGGTCAGCCCTATAGGAATATAAGTCTAGGACGCAACCGAGGACGGTTGCATTTGCTTGTTCCCCGCGGATGTCCGGCATGGACATTGTTTTGTATCCAGAACCATCCCTAGTGTTATTTTCTTCAAAGCGAGATGATCGCTGGAATTCCATGCCTAATTCGACGATAAGGTTTTCCAGAGACAGGAGCTGCTAGAGCGTGCAAGAATAAATATGGAGGCTAAGGCGGCGCAGAAACTTCAGACGAATTCAGACATAACCACATCACCATCATGTTCACTCTTTCGAATCTTTCTCGTATTTCCACCATTCAAACTGTAACCGAAGCCGACATAGGGCTCGAGCCAATTCACTCATCCCCGCAATCAGCTCATTCCAATCAGTCACTCATTGCGGGTCGGCCGCCTAACGAGCCATACACCCTTTTGCCTACTCACTATCCTGCATTCGTCATCCCGTTTCGAAGGCGTCAAGAAGAGGAAAGAGAATGGGTGATGATGACAGAGCCGTTTGATGTGATCGGAGTTGGTTCAGAGTTGATTGGGATGTTCCGTGATGAAGGAATGATGGCGACGCCAGAAGTGGCTGGAGAAGTAACGGGGGTAGAGCGATTTGAGAGAAGGCATGTTATCTTTCGAGTTGAAGGAGGAGCCGGATTGAGGTGGAAAGTGGGAGTAAGATATGCGTACGCAAAGGTAGAAAACTGGAGGAGGGCTTGGTTATTTTTCACAGCATTCGCCAGTCGATATCCAGTGAGTCAGGGTGAGAATTGGATGAGTAGGTTAATGGGATATGTTTGTGGGCCACTAGAGAAGAAGAGAGAAGGATGGGGAAAGCAGGGCCTTATGTAGAAATCGATTAGTCGTTTGGAGTCGCCGAGTCGGGATATGTCAGCGAGTTAGCCGAGACGGGAACTAAGAATCACGCTAATGTCGAATGGTTTGTCAGAAAACTCTCGAGTCGACTGTGCATTGTCTTCAGTCAGCATCTCATTATTCAGCAGGCTTATAAACCAGGCTTACGAATCACCTCTCTCAGCGTCGAGAGAAAGAAATGCTCAGAACGGGATAGATTACTAATCACAAAGGAAGAAAGTATCAGAAATGGTATCATGATCAGTCAGCATTCAAATGGAAGAAAGGACACAAGGGAAGAATGGCACGTATACGGTAATATGATTAGGTAAAATGTTCCCAGAGGGAAAGGTATATAAGGAGGGGAGGAGCGCAAGCGAGCAATCCCCC